GCCACCCCCCGTGTCCCCAACAGGTGACATTCCCACGCTGTCACTGCCAGAGCCACCAAGGGGGGGTTGGGGACACCTTGGGGACATCGGGGACCCCCCCAGGTGACCCCCAGGTGACATTGGGGACCCTCAGGTGACCCTGGAGGTGACACAGGTGACGCCAACCCCTCCCAGGTGACATTGGAGACCCCCAGGAGGGGACACAGGGACCCCCCAGGTGACACTGGGGACCTTCAGGTGACACCAAAATCCCCTCAAGTGACCCAGGAGGTGGCACAGGTGACCCGGGTGTCCCCAAAGTGACACCCAGGTGACATTGGGGACCCTCAGGTGACCCCGAACCCCCCCAGGTGACCCCAGAGGTGACACAGGTGACATTCGCGACTGTCAGGTGACCCCAAAACCCACCTGAGTGACACTGGGAACCCTCAGGTGACACAGGTGACCCCAAAACCCAGCCAGGTGACCCAGGAGGTGACACAGGTGACACCAAGATCCCCCCCCAGGTGGCCTCAAAGTGACCCCAGGACCCTCAGGTGACCCCACAGGTGACCCCAAAACCCGCCCAGGTGACCCCACAGGTGACAGAAGAGGTGACCCAGGTGACACTGGGGACTCTCAGGTGACACCCAGACCCTCCCAGGTGGCCTTAAAGTGACCCCAGGACCCCGCAGGTGACATTGGGGACCCCCAGGTGACCCCAAAACCTGCACAGGTGACCCTGGAGGTGACCCAGGTGACAGAAGAGGTGACACAGGTGACACTGGGGACTCTCAGGTGACCCCAGAGGGGACCCAGGTGACATTGGGGAACCCTCAGGTGACCCCAGAAGTGACACAGGTGACACTGGAGACTCTCAGGTGACACAGGTGACACCCAGACCTCCTCAGGTGGCCTTAATGTGACCCCAGGACCCCGCAGGTGACATTGGGGACCCTCAGGTGACCCAGGAGGTGACACAGGTGACCCCAAAACCCGCCCAGGTGACCCAGGAGGTGACACCAGAACCTCTCAGGTGACCCCAAAGTGACCCCCGGGTGACATTGGGGACCCTCAGGTGACCCAGGAGGTGACCCAGGTGATCCCACAGGTGACAGAAGAGGTGACACAGGTGACACAGGTGACACTTTTGGTGGCTTTTCCATCCCGAGTTTATTCCGGACCCGGGGGCGACTTTTCAATATGAAAAACGAAAGAAATGGGAAAAAAAAAAAAAAACAACAACAACAACAAAAAAACCAAAACGAAACAAAAAAATCCCAAAACGATCCAAAAACGGGAACAGGGATGGAAATTGGGGAGAAAAGGAGGGAAATTGGGAAAAATGGAGAAAATTTGGGAGAAATGGAGAAAAAATTGGGAAAAAATGGGACAAAAAATGAGGGAAAACGAACGAAAAATGGGGAAAAAAATGAATAAAAATGGGGGGAAATGAAGCAAAAATGGACAAAAAGTGGGAAAAATTGACAAAAAATTGGGAAAAAAGGAACCAAAAATTGGGAAAAATGAAGCAAAAGTTGGAAAAGAGGAACCAAAAGTTGGAAAAAAGGAATGAAATTGGGCTGAGAGCGACCAAAAACGGGGAGAAAAGAGAAAAAATTGGAAAAAAAGGACCAAAAATGAGGGAAAAAAACAAAAATTAAGGAAAAAAAAGGGAAAATTATGGAAAAGGTGAGACCAAAAATGGGGGGGAAAAAAAGGAGAAAAAGAAGCAAAAATGGGAGGAAACGACAAAAAAAAAAGAGGGAAAAAGACAAAAAAAAAGAAGAAAAATTGGGAAAAAAGGAGAAAAAAATGGAGGAGGGGGTGGGGGAGGGGCCGGGAGGTGGCAGCGGGGGAGGGGAGGATGAGGAGGATGAAGGTCAGGAATTCTTGGAGGCTCTTCCATGATGAGGATGATGAAGGTCAGAAACTCTTCCATGATGAGGATGATGAAGGTCAGGGGCTCTCTGAAGTTCTTCCACGCTGAGGATGATGAAGGTCAAAGACTCTCCAAGGACCAGGATGAAGGCCTGGAGCTCCTGGAGGCTCCGAGGAGGAGGAGGAGGGATGAGGATGAAGGCCAAGAACCTTGGGAGGATGATGATGGTGACGAAGGCTGGGGACTCTTCAGGATGATGAAGGCTGGGGAATCTTCAAGAATGGCTGGAAACTCTTCAATGATGACAAAGGCTGGGAACTCTTGACGATGATGATGATGATGATGATGATGAAGGTTGGAGACTCTTCAGGGATGAAAACGTCCAGAATTGGGAGCCCTGACCACGATCAAGACTGGAAACTCCTCGAGGATGATGAAGGCTGGAGACTCTTCAAGAGTGACGATGATGAAGGCTGAGAACTGCGAGGATGGCGCTGAAGGCCGGGGAACTCTTTGAAGATGATGAAGGCCAGGGATTCTTCCAGGTTGATGATGATGATGATGATGAAGGCTGGGGACTCTTCCAGGGTGATGATGATGAAGGTTGAGGACTTTGAGGACAGCACTGAAGGCTGAGGACTGTTCAAAAACGATGATGATGAAGGCTGGGGACTCTTCCAGGTTGATGATGAAGGTCAGGCTGGGAACTCCTCCAGGTTCATGATGATGATGATGAAGGCTGGGAACTCCTCCAGGTTGATGATGAAGGCTGGGGACTCTTCCAGGTTCATGATGATGAAGATGAAGGCTGGGAACTCCTCCAGGTTCATGATGATGATGATGAAGGCTGGGAACTCCTCCAGGTTCATGATGATGAAGGCTGAGGACTTTGAGGACAGCACTCAAGGCTGGGGACTCTTCCAGGTTGACGATGATGATGATGATGATGAAGGTCAGGTGGGAACTCCGCTGCCGATGATGATGACGATGACGAAGGACGAGGACACCGAAGGCGCCGCCCGCCGGTTGACACCTCTCTGGGACAGCACAGCAGGAAGGAAAAGGGAAAAGGGGAGAAGGAAAAACCCTCAGGCCTCTTCTTCGGCCTCCTCGCCGAAATCCTCCTCCTCCTCGGCCGTGGCGTCCTGGTACTGCTGGTACTCGGACACGAGGTCGTTCATGTTGCTCTCGGCCTCGGTGAACTCCATCTCGTCCATGCCCTCGCCCGTGTACCAGTGCAGGAAGGCCTTGCGGCGGAACATGGCCGTGAACTGCTCCGAGATCCTCTTGAAGAGCTCCTGGATGGCCGTGCTGTTGCCGATGAAGGTGACGGCCATCTTGAGGCCGCGCGGGGGGATGTCGCACACGGCCGTCTTGACGTTGTTGGGGATCCACTCCACGAAGTAGGAGCTGTTCTTGTTCTGCACGTTGAGCATCTGCTCGTCCACCTCCTTCATGGACATGCGGCCCCGGAAGACGGCGGCCACGGTGAGGTAGCGGCCGTGCCGCGGGTCGCAGGCCGCCATCATGTTCTTGGCGTCGAACACCTGCTGGGTGAGCTCGGGCACGGTGAGGGCTCGGTACTGCTGGCTGCCCCTCGACGTCAGCGGCGCGAAGCCCGGCATGAAGAAGTGCAGCCGCGGGAAGGGCACCATGTTGACGGCCAGCTTGCGCAGGTCGGCGTTGAGCTGCCCGGGGAAGCGCAGGCACGTGGTGACGCCGCTCATGGTGGCCGACACCAGGTGGTTGAGGTCGCCGTAGGTGGGCGTGGTGAGCTTGAGCGTGCGGAAGCAGATGTCGTAGAGCGCCTCGTTGTCGATGCAGTACGTCTCGTCCGTGTTCTCCACCAGCTGGTGCACCGACAGCGTGGCGTTGTAGGGCTCCACCACCGTGTCCGACACCTTGGGCGAGGGCACCACGCTGAAGGTGTTCATGATGCGGTCGGGGTACTCCTCGCGGATCTTGGAGATGAGCAGCGTGCCCATGCCCGAGCCGGTGCCGCCGCCCAGGGAATGGGTGAGCTGGAAGCCCTGCAGGCAATCGCAGCTCTCGGCCTCTTTGCGGACGACGTCCAGCACCGAGTCCACCAGCTCGGCGCCCTCCGTGTAGTGACCCTTGGCCCAGTTGTTGCCGGCGCCGCTTTGGCCTGGAGGGAGAGAAAGGGGAGGGAAATAAAAATTTAAAAATGGGGTGGGAAGGGTTGGGAGGGGTCTCGGAACGGAATTTGGGAGCTTCGAATCACATCGGGGACCTTCAAATCGGTTTTGGGGACCTTTAAATGACATTTGGGAGCTGGAAACTGTTTTGGGGACCTTACAATGGCATTTGGGAGCCTCAAATCATCTTGGGGACCTTAAAATTGTTTTTGGGGACCTTACAATGGCATTTGGGAGCTTCAAATCATCTTGGGGACCTTAAAATTGTTTTTGGGGACCTTACAATGGCATTTAGGACCTTTGAACTGTCTTGGGGACCTGCAAATCATTTTGGGGGATGTTTAAATGGCATTTGGGAGCTTCAAATCACATTGGGGACCTTCAAATCGGTTTTGGGGACCTTTAAATGACATTTGGGAGCTTCAAACCGTCTTGGGGAGCTTCAAATCACCTTTGGGGACCTTACAATGGCATTTGGGGACCTTTAAATGACATTTGGGAGCTGGAAACTGTTTTGGGGACCTTACAATGGCATTTGGAAGCTTTAGATCATCTTGGGGAGCTTAAATGACATTTGGGAGCTTCAAATCATTTTGGGGACTTCCAAATCGTTTTTGGGGACCTTAAAATGGCATTTGGGAGATTCAAACCATCTTGGGGACCTTCAAATCACCTTTGGGGACCTTCAAATGAAATCTGGGAGCTTCAAATCATCTTGGGGACCTTCAAATCGTTTTTGGGGACCTTAAAATGGCATTTGGGAGCTTTGAACTGTCTTGGGGACCCTTAAATCACCTTTGGGGACCTTAAAACAGCACTTGGGTGATTCAAACTGTTTTGGGGACCTTCAAATCATTTTTGGGGACCTTTAAATGACATTTGGGAGCTTCAAACCATCTTGGGGAGCTTCAAATCATTTTTGGGGACCTTTAAATGACATTTGGGGACCTTTAAATGGCATTTGGGAGCTTTGAACTGTCTTGGGGACCTTCAAATCATTTTTGGGGACCTTCAAATGACCTTTGGGAGCTTCAAACCACTTTGGGGAGCCTCAAATCATTTTTGGGGACCTTAAATGGAATTTGGAAGCTTCAAATCATCTTGGGGACTTTCAAATCATTTGTGGGGACCTTAAAATGACATTTGGGAGCTTGGATCTGTCTTGGGGACCCTTAAATCACCTCTGGGGACCTTAAATGGCACTTGGGTGATTCAAACTGTCTTGGGGACCTTCAAATCATTTTTGGGGACCTTCAAATGACATTTGGGAGCTTCAAACTGTTTTGGGGACCTTCAAATCATTTTTGGAGATCTTTAAATGACATTTGGGAACTTCAAACCATCTTGGGGACTTTCAAATGGCATTTGGGGATCTTGAAATCATTTTTGGGGACCTTCAAAATACACCTGGGGACCTTAAACCACCTTTGGGGACCCTCAAACCCAACCCTGGGGACCTTCAAACCATCTTGGGGACCTTTAACCCCACCTTGGGGACACCTGAGAACCTTCAAATTTACCTTGGAGGGACACCTGGGGACCTTCACCCCACCCTTGGGACCTCCAGCCTCACCTTGGGGACACCTGGGGACCTTTACCCCACTTTTGGGGCCCTGCTGTCCCCTGAGGCCACCATCTGTTTGTCCCAGGTGTGTCCCCAGGTGTGTCCCAATATCCCTCAGGAGCTCCCAGGTGTCCCCACGCATCTCCAGGTGTGTCCCCAAATGTCCCCAGTGTGTCCCAGTTACCTCCCAGGTGTCCCAAGCTCTCTCCCAGGTGTGTCCCAGAACTTCCCAGGTACCCCAGGTGTGTCCCCAGGTGTGTCCCAGCTGTCCCCACGTGTGTCCCAGGTGTGTCCCCACTATCCCCAGGTATCCCAGCTGTCCCCAGGTGTGTCCGCAGCTGTGTCCCCGCTATCCTCAGGTGTCCCCAGGTGTGTCCCAGGTATCTCAGATGTCCCCAGCTGTCCCCACGTGTGTCCCAGGTGTCCCCAGCTATCCCAGGTGTATCCCCAGGTGTGTCCCCAGGTGTGTCCCCAGGTGTGTCCCCAGGTGTGTCCCCAGGTGTCCCAGGTGTGTCCCCAGATGTCCCAGGTATCTCAGCTGCCCCCAGGTGTGTCCCAGCTGTCCCCAGGTGTGTCCCAGCTGTCCCCAGGTGTGTCCCCAAGTGTGTCCCAGGTGTGTCCCAGGTGTCCCCAGGTGTGTCCCAGGTGTCCCCAGGTGTGTCCCCAGCTGTCCCCAGGTGTGTCCCCAGCTGTCCCCAGGTGTGTCCCAGCTGTCCCCAGGTGTCCCCAGGTGTGTCCCAG